CCTACCCTACCCTACCCTACCCTACCCTACCCTACCCTACTCTAACCTACCCTACCCTACTCTACTCTACTCTACTCTACTCTACTCTATTTTATTCTTTCTAAATTTTCTGACAGTGAGAGCAGTCAACCAATGGAACAGCCGGCCTTCAGAAGTCTTTAAGAAGATGTTGGATAGCCATTTGTCTGAAATGGTGTAGGGTTTCCTGCCTAGGCAGGGGGTTGGACTAGAAGACCTCCAAGGTCCCTTCCAACTCTGCTATTGTATTGTATTGAATTTCGTTTTCTTTTCTCGTGGCTCAGTTGTGGACAGGCTGGTTAAAGTGTCTTTAGTAAACACAGACACACACACAAACACAAGTGTGCAATCCAGAAGAGACTAAACAATTTGCAAACCCTCATGTGTGAAATTATGACCAAGGTTATAATTTTGTTATAGAAATGTCGGTAGTACCGTGGGCTAGGAGGGGAAAAACACTTCCTCAGTTGCTCAAATCTGGGTCCAAAGCCACCCAGAAACACTGCATGCATTGTCTGTGGGGGTTTTCTGCCACCCACTGATCTCTTCTCCCTCTTCTTCTTGAGAACCTTCTTGGTGGCACCAACATCCAGCCAGCCAAGATCTCAAGCTCATCCCAACCTCGCTTACCTGTCCCGAGGAAGAAGTCCTTACAAAAGACTCACCTGTTAGCCTGTTCCGACTATTTCAGGAGATGCTAGAGAAATAGTCCATTCCTCCTCCAGTTGGAGATGGGGAGGGAGAGGGAGGCAGAAAGCAGATAGGATGACCAGAGTCCTGTCCGAATGGTCTTCTCCCTCCTCAGGACCAGGAAGACACTGTAGGCAAGGCACCGGAGAAGCCCTTTAAACCTCCCTCCATGATTGAATTACTGGATTGATGAAGCTTCACAGATGTCCTGCCCCGCAGCAAAGCTTCTTCCAGAGATGGTTTTCGCCTGGAGCAACTGCTTCTCTTCTCTGCTTCTCCTAAAGGCCAGCGCATCTGATTTCCAAGGCAGGGAAAGAGGGGGGAAAAGAGGGAGGGGAGGAGGGGAAAAAAAAAGACCCTTGGCTTCTAAGACTTCTTGAATCCTTCCCTTGGTTTCTTTCGGTTAGGAGTAGATGATGGCTCTGCTTTGTGTTCCCCCTGAGCTTCTGGGTGGGAGAACGCAGCAGCTCTGGAAAATGTATAATATCAGCTGCCCCCTCAAGGTACAAAAAAAAAAGGAAGAAAAAGAAGAAGTCCTCAATTGGATTTGCTCCCACCCCACCCCACCCCAAAAGCAGGCTTAATCTTGAATCTGTCAGGACCACGTTGCACCTAATGGTGTTTGACAAGAGTTTCAAATGCTTGGCTTATTGGCTTATTTACATTTAGGGAAAGCGATTTCAAGAGTGACCAACTTTAACCGATTCTGGGCACTTTGTCCTAGGAAACAAAATCCAGGAGAATAAAGTAAAGTAAGTAACAGATGGTATGCATTCAGTCTGGAGTTCGGGGGGGGGGAGAAGGGGAAGGAATCATAGAAAACAGGGCGAAATCATACAGGAGAAAATTGTGCGCCCCATCTGCTAGGCAACCTGGGAAAAGATCTTGGTCTTTAGTGACTTTTTCTAAGTATCTTCAGGTCAGGGTCCTTGGTTATTGTTCTTGTATTGATTGTTGTTCGCTGCTTCTTGTGAAATGGGTAGTCATATAAGGTGATGATAGGTAAGTAGGTAGGTAGGTAGGTAGGTAAGTAGGTAGGTAAGTAGGTAGGTAGGTAGGTAGGTAGGTGGATGGATGGATGGATGGATGGATGGATGGATGGATGGATGGATGGATGGATGGAAGGTAGGTAGG